AATTAGAGTAGACATGAGACAAAAGTGAAGCAAAGACGATTCGGCCTTGCAGAGATTGATGGTTAGAGCATTCGTGATGAATCGGGAAAAGGAGAAAAAGCCTTTCTTAGACGCCGGATTGTCATTTAAACAAAAGCTCGCTTTTTTGCCTTCATCTTCAAGCATGCTCTACCACGAGATTTCTCTGAATAGACAAAAGCTAAGTTCGAGTCTCCTGCTAGCATTTACAATACCAATATTGTAATGTACCATTTTCGATACAAGCCGATGTCAAGACTATCAGATGTCATTAAATTCCACTTATTTCTGCCTCCCGAAACGCTGTCTCATCCTAAATGGAAGTAGAATGTGATGCTGGAGGTGTAGATTATTCATTTAAGGGTGTATCTCTGTCCTTTGTATGTGCCTTAATAGAGTAGCTAGCGAGTGAGTTGCTAAATTGCAGATCAGAGAACAAATCAACTATCCTTTGTCCAATACAACTCTGGCTTAATTATTAATTTACTGACACATCTCATAAATTATTTGGCTTTTCTATGCTGGACGGTGAGCCGAGGACTTATTTCCTAAAATCTACAGTCATAATTTCATAGCAATCTTCTACCGGATGTATGAATGAAGTGTGGGCCTTGAAGAATTTCTCAGCGACCTATTGCGACTTGACCTTCCATTCCGCGGGAGAAGTTGGTTGGAAGCAATTCGTGAATTGGTCTCGCCGGAAATTAGATGGAGAACGCCTTAAGGTGGAGTGGACAGCGTTGGATTGTGCGAAGAATTATTGGGCTCCCTTTCCTACGATTTGGAAGAATCCATTCCAAACTTTCGTATGTATCACCGTGACAGACATTGTTAGAACAAAAAGCAATACTTTATAAAAAACTCACCAAATACAATAAGCCAAGCACTAAGGGTGTTCTGATAAGGGCGTACAACTTGTATCATGTAGTCAAGGAGATATCTACTTTCTTTTGATGCATCAACCTCTTCCATCTGAAAGTATGCACGTTAGTCAAAAATGGAAGGCGTCGTTGTGATCGCAAAGTTGATTATCAAAAAGGAGCCTGTATGATTGGTCAGATCCACTCTTATTTCTTGTCTTATTGTATTTGGTACCATTTTTTCTTTAAGGATGCTTCCTCGCTCTAATAATATTTCGGAGTATTTCTGTACAGAATCTAAGAATATCCACTCAACTTTGAGACATTCTTTTTGCCTTCAGTTGTAAGACTCAACGGAAAGTCATGATGTCATAATAAAGCCCTATTTGGCTTTCGATGAAGGCAATCCACGAATCCTGTCCACTCGCCTCCGCAAACGAAATGAAATAGTGGGCCAACATCAACCTATCAAGAGAGTCTTGGAAACGAAGGTTTTCTTCATGTCGGCTGGGATCTCTTGGATCTGGTGGGCTGACTGTATAGGCCATGAATAATGTGGCTGGGTTTCGAAGGATCCCTTGACAGATTGATGCTGATACAGCTTTCATTTTGTTAGAAAAAGCGAACGTTGACTTCACTGGACATTGAAAGAGGAATGTCTTGGACTTGTGACTGCCGTGTCATACGAAGAAGACCTCCACTCATCATCATCATGTCACCTTAATGAATCTATGCTAAGCTTTTGTCGGTAATATGACGAATATCCATGAAACCACAAGTCGTCATTCAGGAAAATTCACCAAAAAACACTAAACCCAGAAATATGGCCGGCTGAAATTTTACTTTCTTCTTATGTCACACTGTGCAATCTCAACGAGGTAGCCCATGATTTGGTTGGCAACTTTATGCTTGCCCTACATGCGTGCAGACGAGGGCAGCGAATATGCTCACCGCTGCTGGAGCTTGTCTCTGCACTACTCATGAGTACGTTGACAATTTGTAGCCCAGGCCAGGTTTAGGGTTAGTAAAGCCGTTATGGTGAATTTTTATAAATGATGTCCCTCATATGACATACGAAGGCTTAGCACAGATTCATCGTGGTCGCAGAACGGGGAGTAGCGGTACACTTCCAAGACAATCTTTCTTCGGTGCCCAATGAGGCCAACTTGCACATCGGCTACAGTCGCCTCTTCTAACAAAATGGAAATGGCATCAACCTCGAAAACCAGCCGCCATTTATGTCATATCCAGTCAGGTTACAATGGCTGCTTCTATTATGTTGATGTTGGTCCACCAGTTAATTTGGCTTGAGGAGGCGAGTGGAGGAGATTAGTCCATCGGCTTCATTTGGAATGAAGTTGTGCATTGGTCTGGCAGTGGAAATTGAAGAAGGATTGTCTCGCAGTTGAGTGAAGTTTGTTGGATTGTGTGAAGAAGACTTCGCTCTCGCGATCTGCGATTCGCATCCACTCGATCTGAGCTTTCGTCCGTCAGGCGACCAATATCGTCGGTGTCAGAAACTATGATTCATGACAAATTCATCATGAACCCTTTTTTTTGGATAAGTCTTTTTGGTTGGTTTTTGGTAACCACGGCTTTTTGGCTCTGACGACGTCTGTCGCCTGACGAAGGAAAACTTAGTGGCCAGACGCCCAATTCAGCAGTCAACGGTTTAAAGCAAGTCTCTTCCGTTGTCCAATGGGCCCGCCTGTTCAGCCGATTTGCACGACAGCCCAGTCTGGACTAGCTGTCGGTCTGAGTGGCTGGGCTCGAGGCGAGGTTAGTGCATGCGAAGAGCCAACTCACTGCCGTCCGAGTTGGTTTCCACGCCGAATCCGTCGAACTGGTTCAGATGCCAACTGCCCTCGTACTTGGCGCAGCTGGTCAGCGACTCTTTCACGCCGTACCGGCCGCAGAAGCCCGTAGTGAAGGCGCCTTTGTAGACCCAGCGACCCTTGATCTGTACCCCTTCGCCGTGGCGCTTGCCCTTCAACCAACTGCCGGCGTAGATGTTGCCGCTGGGCCAAATGTAGATGCCACGCGACTCGAAGCCGATCTGCCATTCGCCAGAATACTCGCCCTGATTGTCCGGCCCGGTCGCGATGCCCAGTCCGTGGGCTCGACCCTCGCTCCACTCGCCCACGTAACTGCCGCCGTCGTCAAAGTCGAAACGTCCGCCCTCCATCCTGCTTGGTCGCCTTGGCGCCGACTACTCCCAGACTGGGGAGGGCAGGTGATGCTACTGAAGAGGAAGAGGAGGGGGAGGAGGAGAAGGAGGAGGAGGAGGAGGAGGAGGCACAAAGTTCACTTGGTCGCTGAGTTGACGACCGGTCGTAGAGGCCAGGCCAGTAGAGCAGACTTGGGCGTCCGGAGCTGAGGGTGAAAGTGGTTTATGCCGAGGCTGGGAGAGGAAGTGACGAGAGAGAGAGGGTGAAATCGAAACAGGTCGGACGGCTGGACGAAACCGGCTTCGGCTGGGCGGTTGTCACGGACTTGGTCTGTCGGTCGGGCGACCGGCCTCGAATCTCACCAGCCGAGCAGCCGAGCAGCAGCAGCCGGAGCCGATGGTCCGGCCGCATTTGGGTACTTGCGAACCGC